ACTTTTTTTTTATTGATATATTCGGGTACCTTACATCTTTTTTTTATACAACGAAAATTCAGATTCGTTGCCAGCAAATATGAATAATCTCTCAAGACATTATTTTCTTCTTTATCTCAGATCTTTTTTTTTCAGTTCTCTATTTTATTCAATCAAATCTTACACCCTCGCCATCAGAGCATAACATTTCCAACAAATGATTTTTTTTTTCTTTTTTATCAAATCTCTTCAACGAAATCTTTCCTTTCTTTATCAACTCAATCACATCTCTTATTTTTACTCCAAATTACCCACCCTCGCTTTCTTAGAAGGAAGACTAATATAAAAACCAGCGTAAGGTTCATTAAATGTTAAAACCTTGTACCCCATCAGTTTGACTAATGAACGAGCAACACATAATGTCTGTCCTGTCTATGATAAACAGAAAGCACTCTTTATACGTCCATTGCCTTCCCCAATTCGGAAGATTATCTTGCTTGCATCATCATGAAGTCCTGCTTGCATAATCACACACGTCTCTCTGGGAATATTATCTTTCTTTTGGCTTTTGAGATTGAAAACTTCATCAGTGATTCTGATGTGTTACTTCTCGTATAGTTTATTGATGTGACATCATACCTTCGATTTATTATCATTATTACCATTATGATTGTTGTTTAATATTACTCAGTGGTATTAATGTTGACAATAGAGATGATAATATCAACAGTAATAGTATTAATAATACTCATTTGATTTGTATTAAAATTCTATATGTTATAATTACCCATCAGTTTCCATGACTTCTAGATACATTACGCCAGAACTAATATCTTATCGACTGCGGACTTGAAGTAAAGTGGGCACAAAATGAAGTGAAAATGAATAACATTTCATTGACTACGGACTTCAAGTAACGTACGTGCAAAATGAGGTAAAAAGGTAAAAAGGGTGCAAAATTGAAACATTGACTACGGACTTCAAGTAAAGTACGTGCAAAATGAAGTGAAAAGGAACAATTGATTCAATGTGCAAAATGAGGTAAAAGAATATTTCATTGACTACAGACTTCAAGTAAAGTACGTGCAAAATGAAATGACATAACTTCAAGGTGCAAAATGAATGAAAGGAATAATATTTCATTGGACTTCAAGTAAAGTACGTGCAAAATGAAAAGGAATAAATTTCATTGACTGGACTTCGAATAACGTGCGGAAAATGAAAGTAAAAAGGAAAATATTTCATTGACTGTACGTGCAAAATGAAATGAAAAGGAATAATATTTCATTGACTGCGGACTTCAAGTAAAGTACGTGCAAAATTAAATGAAAAGGAATAACATTTCATTGACTGCGGACTTCAATAAGTACGTGTACGTGCAAAATGATAAAAAGGAATAATATTTCATTGACTAGACTTCAAGTAAAGTACGTGCAAAATGAAATGAAAAGGAATAATATTTCATTGACTGCGGACTTCAAGTAAAGTACGTGTCAAATGAAATGAAAAGGAATAATATTTCATTGACTGCGGACTTCAAGTAAAGTACGTGCAAAATGAAATGAAAAGGAATAATATTTCATTGACTACGGACTTCAAGTAAAGTACGTGCAAAATGAAATGAAAAGGAATAATATTTCATTGACTGCGGACTTCAAGTAAAGTACGTGCAAAATGAGCATTGACTTTCAAAAGTAAAAATTGAAAAGGAATAATATTTCATTGACTGCGGACTTCAAGTGTGCAAAATGAAAAGGAATGTTTCAAGTCGTGCAAAAGAAAAATAATATTTCATTGACTGCGGACTTGACATTGACGGAAAATGAAATGAAAAGGAATAATATTTCATTGACTGCGGACTTCAAGTAAAGTACGTGCAAAATGAAATGAAAAGGAATAATATTATTGACTGCTTCAAGTAAAGTACGTGCAAAATGAGATAAAAAGGAATAATGTGTCATTGACTGTGGACTCGTTTTAAAATGGAGTGAAAACTGGCAGCATAGATATCAAAGAATGACACACCCTCTCCCCTTTTCTTCTCCCTCCTTTCCTCTTCTCATACTATCTTAAGCTCACCCTCAGAGTCATGTAAATAAACTGGCAGTCTAACTACTTAACTGTAGTGTAATGACAATAACGACAATAATGATAATGATAGCAATAACAGCAATAATGATAATGATAACAATAACAGCAATAATGATAATAATAACAACGGTAATAAGAATAATGATAATAATAACAACGGTAATAAGAATAATGGTAATAATAACAAAACAACAAGAATGAGAATGATGACAATATCAAGAATAATGATAAAGATAACAATAACAACAATAATCATAACAATAACAACAATAATGATAATGTTAATAATGACAAAAATGATTATAATAACAATAACAAATTGATAATGATAACAAAAATAACAATAATGATAATGCAGTTAGAATTGGATCATCAAGAATTCATAACATGACTCGCCCGCGCGCACGTGTGTATGCGTGTGTGTGTGTGT